CACAAGCAAGATATCTGCTCTCAGATACTGTCATCATTCATGTTCGATGTATAGACCATACATACATGACTATTAAGAACCTGAATCTAAGCTGCAAACCAGAGAGCTAGACACAATCAATGTGAACTAAGAACAACAGCAAAGGCAAGCAAACCTTAAGGTTCAAAACAAGTTAGGACACTATCAATGAGAACTAATAACGGCAGCAAAGGAAAAGAAAACATGATTCAAGCAAGCGGAGACATAAGAAAAGCGAGTAAGACACATGGTGAAGAAACGACTAGAAACAATTGAATGAGAAAAATAGAAACACCATGAGAAAAATCAGAGACTATTTAAGCATTTGATGCAGATGATTTAGGTTTCAAACCTTGTTCATCTCACTTCCTTGCTTGGCCGCAGCTCCACAATGGGATGAGGATTACTTCTTGGACTGCAAGTTCAACATTACTCCTTGGACTGCAAGTTCAACACTATTTTGGTTGGTGAAACCAAACCTCATTCAGGGACCAATCCCCCACCCCTGAGTGCATTTGTTCAAATATACAAACTGGGTGGCCAATGGGTTTAATTAACCAGAGGACAGTGGTCAAATTTCAGTGTACTACAAACATGATTCTCAAACTTGACAGCAGTGCAGCCGCTTGGGATTCTAGTATGTAATGGTTACCAACTCCTAAAACTGATGCATGTCACCAGATTGAAGATATTTTGGCTCTGCCAGATTTTCTTTCATCATGTCAAAAAGTGTAAATTGAAACAGGTTACATTTTTTTATCATGGAAACTTTTACTGGGTTCAATTATATCACACCCACTCCTGAAACCCCTGCATGTCACCTAATCCACAGATTTTTTGGCTCTACCATATTAACTGTCATGATGTCATTTTTTGGACTTGGTATACCAATTACATAACTTGAACTTTTTTTGGTTGGTGAATTCAAACCCCATTCAGAGACCAACAACTCACCCCTATTTGCATTTGAAACATTGTGGTGAGCCAGATCAAAACCTCAAGCACTCGGTCCACTTCACAATCAGAACACAGAAGACCCCAAACACCTAGGCCAGATGGTGAACTCAAGACCTCAAGACTACTCACAGGGGGAGGATAGTCACCCCTCAGACAGATCCAGGGTATTAGGAACCCTCCTTGTTTTCTCTTGTTTCATTCTTTACATTCTTGGAGATGCTGCATATCAACAATGAAACAATGCTTTATCTGCCATGTATCTGCCATGTATCACTCCATGTATCTGAGCCCCAAAGAAAAAAAAAATCTGACCAATTTACTTTTCTTTGCAAGGAGATGCAACAAATTTTTTTTTGGCCATGCAGATTTGTAGAATTCTCCATGATACACACAGCATATCACATCTGTTAAATCTTTGTCAGCATATGCACTCCTCTTTCTCTTATCTCTCTGTTTCAAACTAATGCACCCACTTGGGGATTAGTACCTCACATCTATGCATGCTCCTACTTTTGGTTATGTGTGTTTCAGAATTATGCTCCAGTTTGAGCAAGTAGGTTATGTAATTGTTCCTCCTTTTGTCTTAGTGCCCTCCCCTTGGGCTGTAGTGTTTCATTTTGATAATTCTCACTTGTTCATTTTTTTTGCTCTCTTCAAACCACAAGCTAACCACTCCCCAGATTTTGTATATAAGGAGTTCTGTTTTCCCTCATCAGTTCTCTGACGTGCCCAGCCTGGTAATATAGTTAGCCTGTAGTCCTTAGAAATAGTCCTTAAAAATATTATTCACATCCTTTAGTCAGAAATTAGTCTGCCACATCAATCAGGGAGTAATTAAACTCTCCTTGTCTGCTACCTTAGCATTATTTACCTGAGGGAAGCCTTATCCACAGCACATTTACCCTTCAACACCCTATCTGATCCCACCAGGTAGTTCCAAAACGTCCAGGCCAGTGCTGACAGAGCCAATTTCTACATTCCAGTACATTTTCTGTGGTTTTCATAAGTGGAGGACTCTAGAGAAAAGAGTGATTCCTTCCGCAAGATTTTCCCATCATAATTGATTACACATACATAATACACATTTATACAAAATTTTTCTGTGGTGATGTTAGGAGATAGACTCAAAGTTTTTGTGTGCATTTCAATCCTTTTGGATATACTCAACTCAAATATCTGGACCAATGCTATCAATCCAAAGTTGACTGTGTCAAGCAAGCATAAGAGTATAAAGACAGAAAATCTTCTACTTCAAGGCAAGAATCAAGTTTATGAACTGAAGAATGGCTTAAACGCTGCAGTCAAAATTCCAATTGAGATAGATGAAGAGAAAAATGAAAGAAATTGTGGCACAGTAGAAATAGATGCAAAACCCATTGCATTGGAAGCCACTGGCATTGAAAATAGAGAGATGTAAGTGATCTGAGCTTTTGACATCACTACATGTATAAATAACACTCATATAAAACTGGTGAAAAATACATGTTTCTTTTTAGGTCAGGTGAAAATTTGATCATCAAACCAAATGTTTCTGAGTTCTTTTCATCATCAAAGAACTCTGTTTACAAATATGATCAGGAAATTTCAAAAAAGAAACTCACCCTGTTGGATCATGGGTTTTACAAGTCAACCTGCTTTCTATACCCCAATCCACACAACGAGCCAGATGAATACTGCATACTGATTAACACCACCATCAATAATGGACAAGGATGTGTGATAGTAACCCCCTCAAAATACCTAGAGGGATTCTTCAAAAATGGGCTCAAGATCTCTGATGATCCATCAGATCTGCGGACTGTAGATATTGTTCAGATGCCTGAAAAAGGAGGCATGGGAGCAGTAGCTGCTTGTAAAATCCAAAGAGGTGATCTGATCTTACAGCAGAGTCCTGTTGGGCTCTTTCCATATCTTGAAAAAATATGGAAAACTCCTTTTGGTCACAGTATTCGCAGACAAGCTATTGATCATTTGCCCCTAAAAACACAAGAACAAATATCATTCCTTGCAGGAAAGGGTCAGAATAAAGACCAATTTATTTCAAATATGATTGATGTCAACCTCTATGATAATTACCATTACGTTTCAGGCACTGAAATTAGCTTTGGTGGAATTTATTTGAAAGTAACGTAAGTACTGCTTTCATTTGAGCCAAGAAAAGCAAAATCACTAAGAATTTTCTTTGGCAAAAAAAAGCCGATTGAATCACTCATGTAAACCCAATGTTTTCTACTACATTGATCCCATGACACAAATGGTGCACTTGAAGGCTTATGAAACAATTGAAATTGGTGAGGAACTTACTGTACCTTGTAAGTAATCTTGATATTTTTGAATTCTGGAAATCACACTTACATATGAGAATTATAGACTGGTCCCAAGAATTGGATCAGGCATCCCGCCGAAGCAAACTTAAAGAAATTTATGGTTTTGATTGTACCTGCTCACATTGTATGATGAGTGCTGAACTTGTGAGAAATTCAGATCAACAAATTGCAAGACTTGTCCAACTCAGTAAGCTCTCTCAAGGCTCAAATCTATCTGAAAGTGAAATTAAAGAGTTTCTCAAGATTAGCAAGGAGGTACGTGAATGATTTTATTTTCCAAAAAAGTAAACTAAAACATATTTTTTTATAAATTTTCCTCATCATGTAAACACAGGAAAGAATACCCAAATTCAGGGCAATGGCAAACTTGAATGCTGCTAAGTTTTACAATTCAAAAGGTGAAATTCACAAGGTCAGAAAGTATGCAGAGAAAGCAAAATTGATGGGAGATCTTGAAGGGGGATCAAAATGGTCTCCTTTTGATGCCAGTGATCTGGCCATTCTCCTTAGTGAAAATGGAAACTTAAAAGCATAGCTCTCATTTTCCATCCAATTTAAATTTTATCCAGATGCTCCAGTTTGGAAACATACATTCATACATACATACATACATACATACATACATACATACATACATACATACATACATACATACATACATACATACATACATACATACATACATACATACATACATACATACATACATACATACATACATACATACATACATACATTATAACTTTTGCACTGGTGTTGTGTTGTGTATGCACCAGTCTGCACTGGTGTTATGTCTTCAAAAAAATTAGAAATCAGAATATTAAAGATGATGGCTCAATCTAGCTTATATAACCCTTGAGTGCATGCACGGAGTGCAGGTGTAAGCGAGGCTTATGACCAAAGTTGAGTCGTTTGGTGGTGAGGGGATTCTGTTTTACCCCTGTTTTCAACAATCCATCAAGTATGTTCCATTCCTCATGTGTACATAGAAATGTGAATAGACAGGAAGATGGGCATGCTTCTTGAAAAGCTTCTCATATCCTCAGAGCTATTTCCATCCCCCACCCGGTGTGGTCATTATTCCTGTGTATGAAGGGAGAAACATTCAAAATTTTATTATTTATCAATGAAGGGCTCAAGATATGGACAAATGGACGTCAGAAATGGAATCTACGGCCAATTTAACCCCTAGTCACTCACTGGAACCACCTTCATATCTCTACTGGATCAGAAGTTACGCAGAATCAAGGATGTCACACGGAGAATCACAGGATCAGAGGCACTCAGCTGGAGGGTATATTGCATGGGGGTATATTGCATATTGCATATTGCATATTGAATTCCTATTATTCATATTGAATTCCTTTTATACTTACAGAACCACAAGTTGGCCACCAGTTGTACCAGTTAAATTCCCATTTATTCAGCCACAGAACACATGAATTCCTTTCTTACAGCTTACATATAAAAGGAATGCGTTGTAGATAGTCTAGCCAAAATCCCTCAGGATTTTCAAGGATACGGCAGCTAAAATGCCTCATACAGGGGGTCCCTTGGGGCTAAAATCCCTCATATTTTACTATATAAGGAGGCCTCTGCCTGCCAGTTGTTTCCCTCCTCATCCCACTCAGTACACATTTTTGGTGGGACACCTGTCACAGATATTTATTAC